TCTTGCTGAGTAGACTAAATACTTTATTAATGAATTTAGAAATGGTATGATTAAGATTCCCATCGTTGGTAAACATCATCATATACATAATGTCACTTCTCAAACTAACGCTAAATGTTTGCTTTATAAATCTTTATTTCATCTCAAATTTCTATTTGTAGGTATATCTATTTCTCTTAAATACCACTTGATTATGTTTTTTTTTTTTACTATAATGTACTTCTTGAATCGTTCAATGTATAGAGGACATTTTTCAAAACTTTTATGAAAAAATGTGAAGAAAAACTTATTTATAGGTAGTATTGTTTGTTCTTTGGAATTTTTCCACTTCAGGGAAGGAGTCTTTACACACTTGGGATATGTTATGTAGTTTTCTCTTTTTTTCAGCCCTGATACCATGCTGGAGTTTGTCGAGGCGTCTGAGGGGATGTAATTAGGGATAAAATTAAAAAAAAAAATCAAAAGAAACAAATAGCTTTGTACACCTTTCTGATTGGGATATGTTATGTAGTTTGCTCTTTTCTTAATCTCTGATACCATGCTGGAGTTAGTCGACCTGTCTGAGGTGGTAAGGTTGACATTAAACAAAAAAATCATAGAAGCAACAAATGGCTTTGTACACCGTTTTACTTGGGATATGTTATGTAGTTTACTTTTTTCTTCATCCCTGATACCATGCTGAAGTTTGTCGAGCCGTCTGTGGGTTGCAATTGGCGATAGTGAAATTAAAAAAAAAATCATAGATGGTAGTAAATTATAATGTAGGTACAAAAATACATAAAAAAAATAACTCAAAATATACTTCCTTATATAAAATAAAAATGTTTTCTCTAAAACAAAATAAATAATTATTAATTTAAAAGAGAATATTAAAATGTGAGTACAGTGGCGCAGCCAGAATTTTATATTAGGGGGTTTTAAAAAATACATTTTTTACCTAGTTTTACTTTTTAAATTTCAAAAATCGTCTGGGCTCGCGTCTGGGGGTTTAACACCTACTCCTCCGCCACTGCGCCACTATGTGAGTGGATATAGCTATAATATTGGTGTTCATTTAAGTAGGTACTTTGGAGAATTCTATTTTGTAATACACCTATTCTCTACCTACCTACATGAAAGTTTCAAAAATTTTGTAAACAATCCAATAATAGCCAATGTCAATATAATAAAATTAAAGTGTGGAAATTTAATTTAAGCTTATTACAGCCTACAGGTAGGTTCCTAGATATTTAACAATTTTTTTCAGTTATATCTACAAACCTAATGGTCAGGTAGGTACTTAACAGGTGTAAAAATTTATAAATAAATAAACAAACCAGGTATAGTAGGTGCTTCGTATTTTCTAAAGAAACGGTATATCTATTTACTTGTACCAAGAAATGTGAAACAACAAAATAAGTTTCAAGGTATTAAACAGGTTTCAGCAGGGGATTGGTAGGTAAATATCCCATGCCGGTTATAAACGCAACGGTATACCTAGTTTGGTGGTTTGGCATAGCCAGGTACCTAATACTGAATTCGCATATTATAAAAATTCATTTTAAATTCCTCTAATACTTTCATTCATCATTTACGAGAAAGTTTAAAGGATTGTCAATTATTTATAGCGCAAAAAATCATGTAAACAAGGAAAGGTCGCAACTTGCTTTAAGTACTGAGTAAGTAAATAAACATTTATCTAAATATAATTTGTTTACCTGTTTATGAAGACAGCACTTGGGCAAGGGTAAAATATAAACAAACTAAAATCCGTAATACAAAATAGAACTTAAAAACAACAAAAATCAACACAACAAACTGAAACACATGACGGAACGCTTAAAACACGGTGCAAACAAACCAAATCAAAACAAAACTAGGACAAATCGATCTTAACATGAGATGTTAGAGATAGTTTTCAACGGTAAACACTTTAAGTTAAATCATGTCTGTGAAAACAGGGTTAAAAAACACGTTTTATTCTCATATGTTTACAAAACAGACGAGAATTAATCGAAATTGATACAACCTTCCCGGCAGACTGAATTCAACTATCGGAATGAGTCATTTACGTGAAGCTGCGCATACCGACATCGGAGAGGGACGCTCTGAACTGCGATGTTGCCGTAGTGCTCAATATATTTGATGTTCTGTGAAATATTGACACCTTAGGATTCTGCTGTTTGATATATAGGGTGTCCCAAAATTGCGTGTAGATAGAGTTACTGTATGTTGGCGAGATCAAAGTAAGTCGATTGAGCCAAAATTACCTATGTCAACACACATTAAAAGTAATTTTAAAAAACCGATTTCAATATGGTGAAGATGCCGTCACCACATATTAACCAAATTTATATGGGACCACCCCTGAGGTACCCCCTTACTAACAAAAAAGAATCATAGTAATCGGATAAGGTGGTAGAGAATTATCGCAAATATACATAAAAAATTAAGAGTTTGAGGATTTTTCTCAAGGACCTAATTATTAGATTATGACCAAATTTATGTGGAACCACCCCTGAGGTACCCCCTTCCTAATAAAAAAAAAAGAATCTTTGAAATCGGACACTGTGTTAAAGAATTATCGCTGAACATACATAAAAAAAATATTACGACAAATTGAGAACTTTCTTTTTTGAAGGTTAAAAAGTGCTTCGTTTCTTGTGAGAAAGCTTCCAAGTTGAAAGAAAATTTTCAATTTCTTTAATAACTCAAAAACGATTCGGTCGATTTTTATAAAATTTAGTATGTAGCTATTTTAATTGAAAAGCCTTTGACTAAAGTAAAAATTACACTAACTGAAATCATGGATAAATAACATTGTATTTTTTTGAGGGCCACCCCTGTTCCCTCAATTTTTTTTATTAAGAGTTGTATTCATTTATAGCATTTTTTGTTTCTTGCAAAAAACATATCTCTTATAGTATTTGAGTAAAAAAAAAAAATTATGGACTGATGGTTAGTGCCTAAATTTTTTTAAGAAAACTAAGTTGGCGGTTATAATGTTGGGACACCCTGTATAAAAAAATAAAATACCTATTTTCCGCTTCCACTTAGATTATAAATTAGTCTTACTAATTAACCCTTTAAAATATTTAATGAGGGGTAATATTTTAATAATTATCAGAAGGCGTAAATGTCAAAAATTCTTTTAAACTTTATTTTATTCGATGGTTATCAAGCAATTAAAGTGGTGTCCCTCTGACAAGAAAAAAGTTGCCTTGCATGGATACCGACACATTTTCTTTTCGAATCTTTGTAAAAAACTTCTTCTTTCTCTACGAACAAGGTGCGAAAACGTTGTTATTTTTTGGAAAATGGAATAAAAATTGTTATAATCTTTATAGGAAAACAAAATTATCAAAACTATGAACTCCGTGACCATGAGATGCAGAAAATACTTCGCTTACCCCATCACAGTATAAAATAATGTTTTCTCTTCTGCAAAATTGGAATTATTTGATGTTTTGAGGTTATGTTTTACAGAAGAATATTAATAAAAACTTTAATTACAATATATTATATATCTTATCCAGTGAGTATTATAGATCTATGCCCGAAATTAGCTCAAATACATTACTTATAAATTTACTACTTACTTTTCAATAAGTTTTTTTTTTTTTGTAGTTTCAGTCACTTTACCAGTCCTTCTTTTAGGTTCCTTACTGTAATTGAACATAAAATTTAAAAACACACATAATCCACATAAAAGTGACGTTTAATATTGACTTTACGTTGGTTTCAGTAGTGCCATCTAGTGGTGACAGTTCGCTTGTTACCCCTAATATGTAGTTTAGTTAAGATACAACATTATATTTTTGGAATAAATGAAACAGTGTTTGTTTTCTTACAATTTAAAGTTTAATACAGTAGCGCAACTATGGGGAGGTTCTGTGGGGGTAAGAATTCCCCTATGGAGACCCTTCGCATCACCGTTCCCGCCATGTTACTAGCACTGACCGCTATACGTTGATTTTTATTCACTTTTTTTTATCGTTTAATTAAAAAACATTTATTTTTATTTACTTTTTTTTTTAAATAAAAACGGTCTTTTTTGAAAAATGTAACGTTGTTAATGAACCCGCCAAGAAAAATTTCTGGCTATGCCACTGGTTATAATTTTATTTATAATAATTTCTTACTACCAAAAAAAAAAACGAAATAAAAATATTTTGTGTAACCCTCTATTCATAATTTTCAAATTAAATAAAAAAATACACTGCGATAGTTCTACAAGTAAATATAGAATCAATTTATTTTATTCTAGAAATCAATTGCTGTATTGAATCTTCCATGCGTATCGGCAACACTGCCGACTGCATATCCTCCATTCATTCATATTGCATTCGATAGGGAAATACTGTTGTATGGTTAGTTAGTTAATATTTGCGGTAAAAATATATAAAACTTGGTAGGCATTTGTTTATTATTACAATATTACAAACAAATTTAAAAATATAAATACAGGGTGCCTGATATAGGACTGTAGAAACTTGTATCTCAAAATTTTTTCAAGGGGAATTTGTTCGTTTGAAAAAACGTACAAACAACCCGATTTTTATTACAACCATACATCCAGGGCCGCCATGGTAAGGTCTCAGGGTATTTTTATAAAAAGTCCTTTCTATGTGACATATCTAAAAAAAATTAAACATCCTCAAACTAAAACTGTCGGGCCCCCCTTGTGCCGGGGCCCCGGGAATTTGTCCCCCCTATCGTCGGGCCAGCATACACCCTGTTTTACACATTTCATTTTCATTTTCTCGCTTTCGTCATTCTAACCAATACAATTTTAAATACGAAAAGTACCTAAAAGACTCATCTTTAGTTTATAGAGGGTAGGTTGCCCCATTGTATTTAGGCATCACAAAAACTCTGCTTAAAGATATTCTGAAATACACTACCTAACAACCCTTAATCATAATAATATAATTATTATTAGTTATCCATTCCAAAAATAGCAACTTTGCTTCACTATACAACAGTTTAGAATAAAATAGAGATAGCCAAAAAAAACTTACCCTTGATTTTGGAGTATGTTTGAGACCAATCGCGGGTTGACTTCTATTGCTCTGAAAATAAAAATATATCACTTTCATATTGGGAACTTAATAATTAAGAAAATCTTTATTTTTTGTTACATTTTTAGGTACTTAAAGTAAAGTTTCATGTTTGTCACGAGATTGCGTGACGAATTAAATATTAAATTCGTTTCTTGTTGTAAAACATAGATAAATACACTATGGCCCAAAATAAAAATAAACAGTACTGAATATTTTTTTATTTATTTAAGAAATACGTAGATATTGTCTTTGAATGTTTGAACGTTAATAATTATGCACTATATACTACATACTGTTTATTTTGGGCCATACAGTATAAATATGAACAGGAAAGAGATCTTCTCAAATGTAAACGTTACAACACTGGTCTTAAAGGCCATTTTTTTTAAATTGATTTTAAATTGCTTTCATTATATGCATAAAACGGTATGGGTGGTCGAAATATTTTATCCCTTTGTAATTGAATTGAAATTTCCTTAAATTTTATATCATTTTAATAGGACTAACCTGTTTTATAACAATAAAAAGTCAGTGTCGGAAAAGTAAGGATTAATTTTAAGCAGACGTAATTACAAATATTTATATCTATACAAGACTAAAATAAAGGCAGGTTCTTCATTAATCATTTTTTAAATACCCATTCGTTTTTGAGTTACATCCTTCTAAAAGGAAGCTGTACAAACTGGTTTTTAATTCATAATTATAGAAAGTGATAAAGTATGTAACGGTATTTGGTATTTATTTCTTCTGATTTTTCACAGGGGTAAAAAAGACCAATTCTTAATTAATTTCTGAATATTTTGTAAACCCTTTGTTTAATTTTCTTGCCACACATATTACGTTACTTTATTTTGAAACATCCTGTATATACAATATTTTATCCGGACACAGACAATATGACTTGTTAAACAATACGTATTAAAAAATAATTTTCATATAAAATATTGTTTTATTTTAATTTTTTTCTTTTTATTTTATTGCAAAATATTTTAAATATTGATAGATATTATTGATATTTAATTTTTGATTGGAGATAAATAAATAAATGAGCTAGGTAGGTCAAAGTACGAGTCCAATTAAATAAATTAATATTAATAACATGCAATATGCATATTTTTTCAATAAGTAAATTTAAAATTGTTATGAGTTATTTGTAGAAAATAAAACTTTACATTAAACGTTCAATAAATCCAGCAGAAAAATCCTGCAATCAAAAATTGATTTCCGATTGCAAGTAATCTCTTTTCAATCCCATCGAGAATTGGAAACTTGAAATACGAGAAGATAACTCACTTAGTTTTTTATCCAATATAGATAGGATATCTCATTTAATTATTATAAACCAGCAAAATTAACAATTTGATTTTTCTTGCGAACACGGAAGTGTAGATGAAATGGTTTACTTATAAATGTAATCAAATGAAATGTTAATTGGGTAATAAAATTACCAAAAAACCAATTCAGTTATAAATGTTAAGGATAAATAAATTGTAAGATGTCAGCGCGAAAATATAACTGGTAAGTTCCTGTGCGAAAGGTCCGTGGTTCAAATCCGGGTTGAAACTAAATTCCTTTTTTTAAGTTTATTTTATTTTATAAATTAGTAAAATCTAGAAATTCAAATCTTTATGTTTAATATATTTAAAATTGTTATTTGCACAAACTATTTGGCTTACATACATATTTTATCCAATTTTTGTATATTTCTACCACCTTTACCTAAATTAAATATTTAGTTAAAGACAGTTTGGGTTCTTAATAGTTCAATTTTTTTTAATTTTTGTGTGACTAAAGTTGTTAATTTATACTATCTACTTAACATTAAAGTCCTCTTCCGAATAATCTACCGACGTCAATGATAAAGAACGAAAACATGACATCAATGGTCTAATGATGAAATTGTATCAACATATAACACAGAAAAGCAGAACACTATTTTAAATATGCATAACATCGACAAATTTCTACATAAATTATAAATAAATCGTGCAAAAAAAACTCCAAAACAAAGCCATCCTGTATAAGAATTTTCTCCAACGAACCTCTGCCCATTTCCGGTTCTGCGGCAACCTCAATTCAATACTTTGGATTTCTTGAATCTGCTTAACAGTCTGTTGAAGATCCGCCTGTAATTTCTGTTGAATCTGTTTTTGAATAGACATTTTCTGCTCGATATCCTGGCTGGATTCGCCATCCGCTAAATAATTCGAAGTTTTTCTCTGAATTTTGTCTTTCTCGTATCGTTGCGACAGGAGTTCTTCGAGTTTTTTCGTTGATTGTTGGAATTGACCCTGCTTGACGATCGGTTTCGGTTTCAGTTTCGGTTCTTCAGTCTTATTAATGTTTGAGCTAAATTTGGCTAAGTGTTGATTAAAGTTCTCTGGTCGTTCGATGCTTTGGTTCTAGAATTCATTAATTATACTCATTTAATTTATTTTTGTCGTGTACTTTTTTTACTTATTTGAAGAAAATAAGAATTAGGTAAAATAATAAAAAGAAAATAAGAGCTATGTTTCAAAATTGCATAACCAATAATAAATATTAGTGAGACTAGGCATATGCGAGGATAATGGAAGAAAAGTCCTTTATTTTTTTCACTGTTTCGATGTAGTTACATCATCATCATCAGGTACACCTAGATGAATACTTATAAAGTCAATATATTGTAAATTAAAAAAATAAAATAAGATATATGGAAATTTATCAAAAAACAAAATTCTAAGGACGAAAAAGAATTAGAAATTAATAAATAATTTGAGTCATTATAACATATCCTTTAAGGATTCAAAAAATCGCTTCACATCTTTTAGTTTCTTACTGATAAAGGTATTTTTGTAATTTTTTAATCAAATTTAACTCCATTTTAGTCATTATTTCTAATTTTAAATATTGTATGTTTTATTTGTGTTATGTTAATTTTATTTTATATATTTTTTTACTCTATGTAGCTGGTATGATGACTCAAACTTATTTTTTTGTTTTTTTTTTACATAATTAACCGTCTAGAAATATCTGATGATGATAATAGACTTTTTTCCATTACTTAGTCTATAATAATAAAAAATATATAATGAATTCATTTAAAAAGTGCTACTATTTTAGGCAATTTTATTGAACAAACAATTTTTTTTTATATGATATTTGCAGTATTTTCAATATTTTCATTATAAACTATTAATACTAAATAATTTGAAAGGTGATGCTATCATGAAAAAATAGAAAAATAAGTCAAAAATTATATAAAGAGGAAGTTTGAAGAAAAAATAGAAGAAAAAAAAATAGGGAAAAAAGCGTTAATAAAAGCACAAAAAAAGGAAGGAGTTTACATATCAAAAAAAGAGGAAATATATTTCTATTCATGTATACTGGAAATAAAAATAAATGAAATTATTAACCTTGTACATGTTTTGCATACATTATTTGAAATATACTAACTATAGGGTGATTCGGCTTTTGAAAATACTGTTGCTCGGTCTGCGGTAAAAATTGTACTAAGGCTTGTGCATTGGCGACGAAATTTTGTCTATTTTGTACGAACGATTGTCGAACTTCAGTCGAAGGTCGCCTTTCATGAGAAAACTCCGTCTTCTTTTCCTTAACATCAGGCTGCGATACATTTTTGTGAATCAACTGGTGTATTTCCGGTTTTTTCTCTGTATCCGGCGACAGCTTTTTAGAAAGATCTAATTGTATGAAATCTTTAAAACCTCCAGAGTCTGATGAATTCGAATCTACCGAGTCGACTTTAGTAATGGATTTTTCGTTCAATTCCTTTTTGTTTACGTTTATTATTCCGCAACAGTCTGTTGTTGCGTTGGACAAGATGCTGCAACATACTGTGCTTGGTGACTGCGGTGGTTTGTGCGAATGATCTTCTAGTTTTCTAAATGGTTGTAAACTAGGAATAAATTTATCACATTTTTCGCTAAGAAAAGTAGACGTGTAAGTGTCATATTTAACATTAGTTTCAATACCTATGTGCTTGGAGTCTGTTATAAAATCACTCTTTTTTTCCGAGGAATATTCCTTGTACTCAGTTTTTTGTAAGTCTCTAGTTTTAATCAAATCCTTATTAAGCGGTTTGGAGTCTTTTCTTTGTAAATTAGTGTTTTCGTTATGAATTATCCTTTGCTGAACTTTAACCGGTGGTACATATCGCGGTTTGGAAGGAATGCTCGGTTTAGGAGCAATTTTAGGTCTTTCCCCTCCTCTGTTGTTTTCTTGCATAATGTTTACGTTTCTAGACACTTGTTTTTAGGATCAAAACACTACAGAAGTTATATTTAACGCGAATTTTAGTAAATAAAGCATAACTATTATATAAACACTTATTTGGTCATAAATTTAAATTTTTGTAGGTTAAAAGCACCATTTGACACTGTTTTTTTAGATTAAATATGAAATTCACATACTGCACCAATACCACGCTAACTAACACGTTGTAATGTTGGGGGTTGACTCCCTACCTTGCGATCTGAAGTTCAATAAAGCGACGCTTGGCGGCGCCCGTCGCAAATCGCGATGAACTCGGTTCGATAAGAGAATAAAACAGGTTGGCTCAAAGCCGATACCGGCTCTAAAACGCTCTAAAACTTGCGAGGAAAACACTTTCTTTGATTTTACACCGCTAATTGTTATTTTAGAGACGTGAAATAAGACGTAATAATGGGGTTCAATGACATTTTCTTTCCCGCACCCTCTTTTTATACTGACTATTGTTCTACAACCCTTTCGGCCGACGCGACGGCGTAATCTCTATTGAAAGGTTATGTCAGATGGACACATGGTGACAGCGTTGTTAATTGGTTTGAAGTCAATGGATGTTCGGAATGAAATCAAATTTTAATAGCAAACGAAATAAGATGTTTTTATTATTATACACGGAAAAAAATGTGACTAGAAAATTTTACTACAATGTTGTAGTAGTAGACTTGTAGAAAAATACTTAACAATTTGTAGAAAATTTTACTACAATTTATAGTTAAAAACTATTAATTATTGTAGCAATTGAATTGTCGAATAAAATGCTACAACAATAGAAAAGAAGTCCACAATGTTTAGTATATTTTACTATTGTTTGTAGAAGTAGAAATTTATTACAGTTATCGTAATTACTACTACTAACTTCTGTAAAAATTTGTACAAATATTAATAATTATCTCTACAAAAAATAGTAATTTTCTCTACAAAAAATAGTAATACTTTACATCCCTTCTTTAAAAATATTCTATAATATTGTAGAAATTCTAAGTCATGTGAACAAAACAGAATTCTGCTATTGGCCAACGTTTTCTGACGTCGATCATAAACGGCCAGACAGCAGTAACCGTTCGCCATGTTCACATAACAAAGCATGGTACATATACGAGTACCTATAACACATTATTATATTATAAGCACCGATGCGTTTGAGAAAATTTTAATAATAAATTCTATTGGTGGTAAGTACATTTATTATTGTTTCTCAATAATTTACCTTTAGATAACTAATTTAAATAACCTTAGTAGATTATTTTAAAAAAATTGTTGTGGCCAACGATCGAATGTTGTGTGCAACGATCGAATTTTGTGCCAAGTTCAATGATGTTTTTTGTCTTAATTGTGACATACCTACTTTCTCATTTTTGTTAGTTATCTGACTTAGTCATTTAATATCCAAATCAGTGTAAAGGTGATAAATATCCCCGTTTTAAGGGTATGAACAATTATTAATTTTTATTTCATGTTTTTCAGGTGCAGAAAAGCCAACTGAGACTGAGGGCGCTATTATTACTGTTATTTATTACATAATGTAATTAAGAATTTGTATCTTTTATATTAAAACAATAAATTGAATATTTTATTGAGGAACATTTTTTCTAGGTTATAATTATAATAATTATGGAATACTACTACAAATTTTATTAAAAATTACTACAATTTGTATGAATTTTTACTATTTATTGTGTAAAATTTTCGTATATATTTTCATAAAACGCAATACATTTTTAATATAAATTCATACAATGAATAGCAAAAATTATAACAATTTGTAGAACAATTCTTATGATGCATTTGGATATTTTTACTAAATATTGTAGATAATAACTCTACAATACATTCTCCACAAATATTTGGAAATTTTTACTACAAATTGTCCCTGTCCCTATATGTACTATTTATTGTAGAGAAAAAATCTACAATTGTAGAAATTTGTTCTACAATTTTTTTTCCGTGTATCACTATAATTTTAAAGGAATAATTTATATAGAAATTATAGTCGGCATTTTTCTCATACAATAAAATTAAGATTACTTTCTTAAGTATACGTTAATTTTTAGTCAAATTATTCATTTTTAAGAAAATTCCCGAAATAGGTTGAAAAGTTATACACGGTAGGTCACCGTTAACGCTTTGGTATGTAGACCCAAAACTGTTTAATTCTTTTTAATCTGTATGTATATCAGAAAAAGTAACAATTTTAAAATAATTTCAATTATATAGGGTTGTCCAGGAACATGATACATATCAAAGTTAGCTTATTTTAAATGGGACACCCTGTATTTTATGTGAAAATCGTATTGATATCAATAACCTGTACAGTGTAAAAAAATTAAAACCCAATTATTACTCACTTAGTACCTGGCAGCCGTCAAATTCTAATACACAAATTATACATTTCCTTATGCATTTATTCATTAATTTTTTCAATTTTTCTTTTCCCCATAGGTACGGGGAGGCCTCAATTAAAAATAATAACAATATTTTTTTTGTTATAAAAGAACTTTTCAGCCAAAAAAAATCAATGTATTTTACTTTGATTAAAAATCTTTTGTTTCGTACTTGAAGGTGCTCTTATCATTTTAACTAAAAAACGCTCTTTAGAAATTGCAAAAGTCGCACCTATGAACTATATACACTAACGACTTATTATGTAAAGTCACGTTCCATAAAGCACTTTAGTGCTAGTTATCTTTGCGACGAAAATCTCGGAACAGAAAAACTGCACTGAGCTTGAATATATTTAATATCAAATACTTATTTGGTAATATTTAATAGTAACTGAATTGAATAGTATACTTTTTTTATGGCTATAACACTCTGCTACTTATTTTTAATTAGTTTTTATAATTAATAAAATTAAAATGACAGCTGTCTTCTAGAAAATTATTTATTGTTTGAAAATTCATGGCACATGGAAATTGTGAATGTGAAATAAGTGTAAAATAGGTGCAAAAACTATTTTCTTACCATATACAGTGTCGGCTATTGAACACTTTAGATTACGCTTTGCTAATGTCGAAGTGAAAACTACATCAACGTGGCAGTGTGAATAAAAATTAATAGTAATTGCTTTTACTTAAAAATGCCTATTTTTCAATAGGTAAAAAATTAAATAAATTAAATATTTAATTTTTATTCATACTACTCAAAATTCCTAGACTGTCTTATTGTTGCGATATAAACAGAAATCGATAAATTAAACTGAGATTCGGAATATTAATCATATGATGTATAATCTAAACTTTGCTAAACGTTCCCGAGGGTTTAATTCCGGTCCAGACTGGAGATGCCAAAACGGGACCACACGATTCAGTTACTCTGAAACTAAAAGCGCATTACAAAATATAATCTTTAATTATTTAAATAAATTGCCTCGTACTCGAGTGCAGTTGTCGTTATACCGAAAATTTATGTCCTTAGGTGGGTAATCCATGATTCCTACCGTTCTTAATGTCCTTAGCATGAATAATGGATGGTTATGCGTTCAGGCATTTTCCGGGGATTCAATAATGCATCTTTGAGGCGGTCATTTTTATCTAAGTACCCTTCATTTATTCTCAAATTGGGAAATGGTCCTCTTATTTGTTCATTTAAAAGGGCATTTTATGTGATTAGGTCGTGAAAATTTAAAGGAGATTGATTGCTTGATAAAAATCGTATGTAAAGATAGTATTTTTGAAAAATGGTTCGAAAAAAAATATTAATATACGTGTTGTATATTTTTATTTTAATAAATGTTAGTCGTGAGTGAATTTTTGTAGATTTTTGTGGATTTTTGTAGATTTTTGTGGATTTTTGTGGATTTTACGGATATAATATCACAAATGGCTCAACATTGTTTTGAAACGGCGAATAGTTTTAAACGGAAACATCTCTTGGTCGAATTATCCGTAACTTCATATTTTTCGGAACTTCCATCAGCGTATTGCACCCACGAATTTCCGTTTCCACTCAATAGTGGTAACAAACCGTGAAATAAAAATTACTTTAGCCTCGTAGGTATAGGAATGAGCTGTTTTCGTTTGTCATTCATTTATCTTTATATAATTGAGACGAATAGGTAGTTGATTGCTGAATAACCGGCGCAGATGAATTGTGGGAAAATTCAAGCCGGTTTATCATTTACAAACAATAAGAATCGGAGTTAAGTTTGCCGGGTAGGTGTACACGTGTATATAGGTAGATGTGATTATGTACGATTTATTATTAATTCTAGTCAGTTTAATTCATTCTAACAAAATTATTTGTTTCTCTTTTAAACAAGGGTCAAATTTCTAGTTTTTAGAATTGCTTTACTATCAAAAACAAACGAAAAAATAAATATAGATGAAATTATTGAATCTAATGGTCTCTAAATATTTGTTTTACTAGTTCTAAATTCATTTTTGTTTAATAAGTATACTAGGGGTACATATACGGGCGGCTGTAACGGGGGTAATTACTTACTTCAATAATTTTTAAACCTAACCTTTTATAGGTACTAAAAAAACTTTTAAATATTACATCTACCGGCTCAGCTTTAAACTTTATTACCACTACCCTCCACACTTCAATTCAGGATGCACAACTGAACTACACAAATTCCAAGGTTTCCACAAGAATCCATTGGCCTAAATTCATTTTTTTAACGTATCAGAGAATTCAAAACATTATTCAAGATTCACCAAATACTCCTCGAAGGCCAATAGGAAGCTGAGGAGTGGCTAACTTGAAAGGAACAGTTATAAACGAGTATTGATCGACACGAACACAAGTAATGTTTAAAATTACTCACCAATATTTTATTTTGAACATGTATGGTATGTTAAACAATAAAAGATTGGTCACTATTTTATAGATTGTTACCAAAAATCCCTTCACAAGGAAAAACAAAAACCTACATACCATTTTTCTTAAAAAATCATTGTCACAAACATTTTTAAGTTGAAAAAATTCCAGTAGTAAATTAATTTGGTAATCAAAACAAAAATGATAGCTTTATCTCCATAAATTCATGCGTTGTTAAGAGATTTATTTATAAACAGTGAAATTTGTGCAAGTTTTTGTAACAACACGCTGTATAAAATGTATTTAAACCAATAATAAAAACAAAAATTTGTATCACATTACCTAATCTGTCTATATATCTGTATACATGGGCGTCGTTTAACAGGAGCAAGGAGGGACAAGTGCCCCCTCCCTAAATCCTGAGTGTAGTTTTTAAAATAATCAGGAAAAAAAATTGTTTTGAAAAAATATACCTGTTTTTTAACTTTTTGTACGTATTTTTTAGGTATTGATATAAAAATTTCCTTAAATTTTGCAATTTTCAACTAAAAATTAATCTCAATCTAGGGTGAGACGAATTTTCTAAAAAAAAAAATCATAAATAATCTAAATAAACAAAAATTACATTTTTTTGCCCTTCCTGGAAAATTATGCAACGGCGTCCATGTCTATACATTCTTTTTAGAACTAGAACATACTCTACAAACGTTAATTATTTTAACGAAAAAATTTGTTCTGAAAAAAATGTACCTGTTTTTTAACTTTTGTACGTATTTTTTAGGTATTGATATAAACATTTCCTTAAAATCATAAATAAACTAAACAAACGAACAATAATTAAATTGTTTTGGCCCTTCCTGGAAAAGTATGTAACCTCACCCATGTCTGTACATTCTTTTTAGGACTAAAACAGACACTACATTACTTTAATATTAGTCCTTGATCGATCATGAATCAATAAATATTATTTTCCAATGCGTAATAAATAACATCCGAACTTTTCGAGTTTGATAAATTCTCCACCGCCACCGGTATATAAATATAATATTTGTTCTCCTTACCTTTCCGGATCCCCGCGTATTCGCAGACAGCAGCGCTCCTAGAGCATGTTCTCTGTACTCTTTATCCAAGAGATCGTGTTGCGCCTGTATACGCCTGTAACAATGAATTTACATGAAAGTCTGCGTTGATACACTCTCTACTAGATGGCAGCAGACGAACGAGTTTGAATTTATTTTACATTTACTTCAAAATAAATACTAAATCAAATATATAAATGAGACTTTACGTACGATTTTGAATTTTATTTCATATATTTTTAGATTTTATTTTATACAGGATGTCTCGAAAATATGTATCATAAATTATACAGTTGTTTGTTGTTTCTAGGAATGAAAAATGTAATTATTTTTTGCTACAATTTTTATTTAAAATAAATTTCTAGTAATTTTTGATTCATTTATTTAAAACACGAACAATTTAAAATGAAAAAAAAAACACGGTCTTTGATAATATCAAAACGTTCTGAAATATGGCATATTCGATTTAATATTATTAATTTCAATTCATTTAGTAATAAGGTAATTCTGAATAAAAATGGGGGAGTTAAGGGGGGGTTGAAAAATTAGAAACTAAATAAGATATCAACTTGAAATCTGCAGGAAAAATCAGGCTCTCTAAGAGGATGAAGTCTATTGATTCTGAAATAAATCTGATAAAAAATGGGGGGGAGTTCAGGGGGACAGTTAAACTGTGAAGAATATAATATAGAATGACCAAGCATAATATTCATTCTAGCTATTTTTGTAATCTATTTTATGTAGTTTTATAGTAATGCCTAGTGGTTGATTTGTAACTAATGCAGTAAAAGTGACAAATTTCATTTTATCTACGTTTTAAGGGCCATGATCGCAACTTAAGTAAGTCAGACTTAGTAGAAATGTCTTATCAGTTACGAGTAGGACTGTGTATCATCTAGATAACATTTATTTATTTATTTCACTGAGTAATATCATATATGAACAATAATAGTAGTGGACCTAGGACTATTCCTTGAGGAACACCTATTTTTACTTCTGTAGTAGAACTTTTTCGCTTTGAATCTTGAATTAATTAATAAATTAGATAACTAATTTTTCAGTAAGCGATCTTAAGACAATTTTTGGGTAATATCGGGAAAATGAAGCAAATTTTACTTACGCTATGGCTAAAAGAAGTTCTTGTTTTTGATGTTCCTTGGCTTTGATCGAGCCCCCTTCTTCCAGAGCTTGTTGAAGTTCTTTTTGAAGAACTGTCAGTTTTCGTCGTTCTGCCTCCAAAAGAAGGCTCGTCACCTGCAAAAATATGGATAGTTTTGTTAAAAAGATTAGAGTTAGGCTTTAAAAGTATAAAGAATTTGTTATACGAAGATTGTGTGGCCAAAATTTGTATATATACGAATATTCGTTTTTTCACTTGACTAAAAAAATCACCTAAAAAGAAAAAATATTTTAGTAGGTAGGTGTTAATATTGTATGCATTCAAAAAGTAAAATAAATGATTTAAAATTCATTTAACTCATTTTAAGATTAATTTAAAAGGGTATTTTCCGAAAGTACACTATAAAATTAATTAAAAAAGCTTTTAAATAAATTAATTATAAATTGAATTATATTTTTTACTTAGGCTAGGGAATTCTGAGAAATTTACAGGTGTTTAAAAGTGCAACATTTTAAGTAATCTAGAGGAATTGTGGTAATTAATAGGAAATTGCTAGGGAATTTGTTTGGAACTGTCGGGGTATCGACAAAGAATTGTCAGGAATTGCGGGAATTTACTAAAGAATTTGCAGGAATTAAAGAAGAAAAGAGAATTAGGTGTACAAATTTTAGCCTGCAGCTATTTTTTTTTTTCTTCAAAAGTTTAATTATTAGTAAAAAAGCATTTTTCTTTTCATTGTTTACATTTTAATCTAATATCAAACGCAATATCTATAGAAAATAAAGCGCAAAAAAAATAATTACTTATTTCAGCGAGTAAAGTTAACATTTGTAAATGAAACTATTGCGTTAGTTCCGTAATACAACCTTGAGTATAAAAAAGAATAAATACTAATGAATTAGAAATAGATAAAAGATAGATAGACTCTAAGTAGGTACTTGTGGTCTTATTGTTCTCTATACATGAAATTGCCTAAGCAATGCATTATATTTTTATTATATTTTATTTACAAACATTAATATCTAGTTTTTCATTTTTGATTTTTTTTATGAAATATTGACGAACGTTTGGACTATGAAAAGTCATTATTATTATAACTTTATTATCCAACCAGAGCTAGAATACAAATTGTCAATATTTTAAAATTGAATGATATGGACAGTTTTGTATTATTTGCTTTGATGACCTGTTTAAGTATATATATTTTTAATGCAATTTTTGGAAATTATGAAAATGAAAAATCCCCAATTTCTGTTCGATATCATGAAAATTACACCCTCATACCCCCAAATAAAAAAAAAACCAAAGAAAAAAATGGAAAAGTTGAGAATTGAAGAAAGAAAAAATGAGTATATCGAACGGGGATCGAATCCGGAATCACGGATTTGAGCTGTCCATACTGTGCCAATTGAGCTATCAACATATACGAATTAGCAAATTTGAAGACAATCAATTCGGATTTATATTTAAAAATTCTACTTCTATAATTTGACCATTTTAAGAACTTTTCTTTTAAGTATTACTAACTCTCAACAGTCTCAACCTATATGCATTTTGTAAAATTGGAGTATTTCAAAACAAAACTCTATTTGAATTATCTAGATTAATTTCACATCACCACAGTGTAATTTCAAAATTTCCGAGATACATAATTTAATTGTTCTCACTAAAGTAAATTCTAATATTTATTCTCAATTAAAGCAAATCCAGAGTAGGTATATGTGTAGGATTTTAGTCTGGAGCCATTTTAATAATATTGGTTTATATATATTTGATTATTTGAATCCCATAAAAATTTTCAATTAGTCCACCCTTCGTAAAAGTGTCTGTTAACATTTATTCAACTCCATACTCTACTTCAGGAAGTCCTAAACTATTTTGGACAAGAGACTCCTTTTCCAAAATGAACTGATACCTCAAACACCCATAAATTTATATTAATTAAAGAAATTTTAAAACCTTTTTACTGTAACATCTTTTACTTGTTTTAATAGTAACAACCAGAATTTGAATAATAATACAAGGCTACATACTAACAGAGTCATATATATTTAATTTCCAATTGATGCAGATTGTCTTGGATGGATAAAAAGAATAAAAATATTAAATTTTCTTTTTAGCCCCAGACTATATGCACTTGCTTTTGAATGCGCTTAAGAAAGAAGAATAACTGCATAATCCGACATGTGAATTACGTGTATTATTAGATGCACTATTATGTAACATAACACCGTTACTGAACTTAACATCTAATTTTCTTTTAGAAGGTTGGAATAATATATAGTTCGGTGTGAAATATTAAAATGAGAATTTATGTCTGAAACGAAAACGTAGAATTTCCATTATAGCTATTACAGTTGAATAAAGATAATATAAAAATGCGAATAGGTATAAATTGCGTAGTTGTGTGATAGTTAATGTTAGTTTTTGATCTTGATTTTCCACCGCAAAAATGATTTACATCTTTTGAATGGTCTAAAAAACGTTATAAATAGCTATATTGAGAGATGTATGTTAATGTATTATACAGAGTTGGGATAAATAAAGTACTGAACCAAATAAATATCATAACCAAAACGTGATAATGTTGAAAATTTGCCAGGATGATGAAATGACACATTGTTGTTGAAATATACATCTTGTTTTTCGAATTCGTTTGTAATGGGTTTGGTATGAGTATTTATTTGGTTTCCGTTTGGTTCCATACTTTATCCCAACTCTGTATGTCATTTCTAATGGAAGAAAAGTTTAAGCATAAGTTCAACCAAGGCTATCAAAAATTTTGGTTGCAACCCAACATTGAAACACATTATCCTGTATTGTGGAACAATTCTGAAACATATCTTATAGCTTTTCCATCATCATACGTAGTCGACAAAGGCTTCATTTTGACAAACTAAAGAAACCGTTTGAAAATCAAGGAACGCGGAGATTTAAGGCTGCAACTCACCAATATTGAACCAGATATAGCTAGATTAGTAGACATCACACTGAATTTTTTCTTTGCTTTGTGATTTTAATATTTCTTTTTTTTTTAAATAATTTTTACTGAACTTATGTCTATTTATTTTGTTAAATTTTGATGATCATATCAATTATTTTTTTAGATATTAGGTAGGTAATAAATAATTCTATACACAACGTTTAATAATAATTTTATAATGAATAGCTTTGGATTTTCAAAAATAATAAAACTACCCCTTTTTTGAATATATATTTGAGTACATTTAACACTTTTTCCAAATTTATTAAACAAAGAGCACTAATTTTTATTAATATTTATTAGTACATGTTCTTTAATTATATTAAATAGTTTAAAAAGAAATTAATTGCTACTTTCATTTTCCTAGTGCTATGACCAACAAAGAATAATGGAGACGTAACATACTTAAACAACATAATGAATGTATGTTGCACATGTAAATGATGATTAGTAATGTAATTTGTCATTCTGAAATTTCGTGATAACATGAAAATCTTGACAAAAACAAATTGCGTGGTTGTGTGTTAGTATGTAAGCTATTATTCAAGATCTAGAATAATATTTTCCAATCATTAGTTATTTTACAGATATTTATAATATAAAACATTCAAGGGAAAACTGGACTAAATAAGGGATTAAGGATGTTTGTTTTTAATATTCAATTATAATATCGTTATCATGTGAAATATTAACTTAAAAAAGAACTGTCATGTATTACTGAAATTATTGGAATTACTGAAAGAATCATTTAGAAATTCTTAAAATTTATCACGATTATGTTACAAGAAGTTATCTTGGTATTTCTAAAACTATTTCCCGGATTACAGAAATTTATTATTGGCTAAATTTAATCGATATAACAAAAAATGTGATATCTGTTCGTCTTGTAAAAGTACGAATGTACCTAAAGCTGGTATTATGGATGATTATAAAAATATTAATCATCCTTTTCAACTGCTATCAATGGTCATTATTGGACCATCCAAAAACAAAGAAAGGAAATAAATATGGTCTGGTAATTACAGATTGGTGAATAGCTTTCGATATAATCTTCAAGATTTATAAAAATACTTAGAGAATTAGGATCGCACTAGATTCAAGTTATATACAATATATCGCACCTTTACTTCAAAAATGACACAACTCAGAATTCACATCTTTATGAAGAAGCCTATAAGTCATTGAAAAAGAAAAAGGTAGTGCAGAAGACTACAAATTCCTCCGACGACGAGAGATAATTTTTCCCAGCACACGAGAATCAAGATTTGGATAAAATTCCTGAAAAAAAAAAAAACCAGATGATGAAGATGCTCATTGCCTTTTTTGTGATGGAATGTTTACCGAAGACTAATGTCTTTGCTTTTTTGCTAAGAAACATTCCTCAATAACCCTACAACAAATATCAAAATTGTTTTAACTTAGCTTAAAAGTGACTCGTCTAAATGTCATTTTTAAGGTTACAACAAAACCTGTTTATTATTCATATTTATGACATTAAATCAGAAGATGTTAATTTTAAGTTGTCACAGTTTTGAAGCAAGGATGCGATATTTTTTTATGTAGCAGCGATATAAGGATAATGCCAAATGAGCTATCTTATATATACCACAATTTTTATGAAAAAAATATTTTTTAAATGTACTTTTTTAGAGATTTATGAAAAATGATAATACCACTCGGTTTAGTTCCAGTATAATTTATAAAAAAAATTGTAAGTTTGTATACAAATTAGAAACTATAATTAGGAAACAATTTTTGCGCACACCATAAATTTCGTTAATGCTAAGCCTCGAAGTTATTTAATAACCCACTTAAAATCATTCGATAAGTTATGTAGAGTAAAAACGCTATTTAGGAAAAATGGGAGGAAATTTGTGACACCAATAATTTTACGTGCATACGATTAACATTGGCACTACGCACGTGTTGGAAACATTAAAAAAATTCTACACGAACGGGTGCCGATAAAAATCTGAATAACTGATAGCGCTTTCCTGAAATTGCTGTGCCGCATTAAAGTTAGAAAAAGAAAACAACAAAGAAAATGCTTCCGCACCAGCTATTTGAACCACGAAATGGTAACTTGGCAACCAATACAAACACATAAACGTGCATTGATTCGCTGAAAAACTGGATTGAACCGGAAAATAATCGATATAGCGGAATGCCTAGGTTTTCGCCGGGAAAATCAATTTTGTTATTGACATAATAACTTAAATGAATACCGAGGAAGGAACATGAATGAAAATCATTTAACTTTCAAGGCAGGTAAATTATTAAATATACGGAAAAAGTTTATTTTCGCCCGAAAAAATAGTGGGAAAGTTTTAAAATAAATGTAATATTAATTTTGTCTTTCCACTAATTTCCTTGATGCAGATTTAAAAATTATTTGTATATTTTTTGGTTCTTTTAGTTCACATAAAAACCCCATAACCCTATTCGATAGCTTGCCAGTGCTAGTGTCTAAGAAAAAACTACAAATCGAGGTAGAAAAGCATCTGGAGCCACTATAATAACTTCTTCGCTCTATAAAGAAGAGCTCTATAAAGAAGTTACCAGCACAGCTGTTAAAAATGTAAAAACAAACTTTTTTTTATGAAGAAGCCTGTAAGTCATTGAAAAAGAAAAAGGTAGTGCAGAAGACTACACATTCCTCCGACGACGAGAGATGATTTTTCCCAGCACACCAATAACAAGATTTGGATAAAATTCCTGAAAAAAAAAAACCAGATGATGAAGATGCTCATTGCCTTTTTTTGTGACGGAATGTTTACCGAAGACCAATGTCTTTGCTTCTTTGCTAAGAAACGTTCGTCAACAACAATTTCCTCTGTTGTTGATTCTAAATTTCCGAACTTAATACAGACAGATATTTCTTCTTGATGTCCGAAGTGTAATCAAGAATAATATTTTGAATTTTTGACCATATTTTGACTATTACTGTATCATGTCCAGGTCTATTGATTTAAAACGTTTTATCATGGGTCAAGCCGCGAAAAAATAGTTAGTAAATTATGAAAGACTCACCTCGAGTTGAACGCCAAAGAGATCACGTGACCTGTCTGGTTTGTTTCTTAAGACGACATTTTCTTGAGAAACAACGTCAACCAAATCTGGAAGTACGTTCTCTATCGGACTCATCTGAAACAAAAAAAAATAAACGGTTAAAAACAGAACTAATTTTCGATTAAAAATTAAAACAAAATGTAATTTTTCTGTACAGAAGGAAAATATTAGGAAAATTTAAAAATAAATTAGTTCTGCAGTATAAATACGTCATTATATAAGCAGGCTCGAGAGGGGGACAGGGGGGACAAAATCCTTGGGGCGCGGAAGTTTTAGGAGCTGTGGCCTTTTTTTTTAGAAGTTCACCACAAAAGGGGCTAATTTCATAAAACTACGAGTTCTAAATACTTGTATTTCATACAATAATATCGTTATCTTTGCAGATTAATAATTTTTTATTTTGACTTTTCAAATTGCTTTTCAAATTTTACTTTGTAACTCGGCAAATTTTTCTTTTATTAAAAATAAATTTATTAAAATATACAAAGTGCAAAGTGAAAAGTTGCAAAGTATTATGAAATAGTCCCCAGGTTTATGAAAAATACAAGCTGAGGATCTGGTTTTCTTCTTTTTAAACTACCCCAAGCCTCCAATGCCTCAGAGGTGGTTGGAAAATGTACCAATAATGACAGACCTCACTTTAATTGAAAAATTTGAAAATCATTTTTGTTTTAAATTTAATTGCATATTTGTAGTATACCTGTAAAATATTAAAATTGGAAACGTCCCCTCTTACCCCCAAATTATCCCATTGTCTGTAGTATAGACAGAAAAATATCAAATTTATTACAACCTGTATAGACCTAAGTATAAATATCAGAAAATAGCATTATTCTATTATCTTTCATACTGACAAATGAAATATAGTTAACAATATCTCATGAGCTGAAGACATCTATACTGAATATAATTAAAAAAAAATTATATAATAACAATTTGCAAAGACAATGTTCCTGTGCCCCATACATGCGCATATGTCGTAATAACTATTAACATTATGTATCTAGCATATCTTTTATATCAGTGTTATATTACTTATTATAAAATAAGACATGGATTCGTTAATTAAATACGTTTTCGAACCTTTCACTTCCTTTGATACAATTTTCACACCTTATCAGAACAATACGTTACCGTTTTGTAATACAAATAATTCTACATATGATTTACTTATGCGTATTATGGTTACTGACAGTATGATGAAAATCGTTAGTCTAGTTATAGTGTTTTCCCTCAGGATTTGCTATATTTGCAACGTGAAATTAAGCATAACCTCAAAAATTTTAATTGGTCAATAACATTTTGTCTTAATTTGGTTTATTTAACTAGTTTTGCCTTTAATACAATTTAACAGAACTTAAAATAATAATAATTTATATAAAAGCGATTACACGATAAACATTTTTATAGGTTTAACCATTATTTTTTACTACATTTTCTGTCCAATTTTGTAGAATTTATACCTACTGTAATATAAAACTAAAGGAAAATTGCTTTTTTTACATGTTTTACCAAAGTTTTCTTGCATCTTTTTCGTAAATTCCAGGTTTTTTATTTTTCGGTATATACAATAATATATCTTCCGTTGCATTTTTCCTAAATTATTATCAATAACATTTGACTACCAGGAAAAATCCCAATTTAATTTATTAAATCCCACAGTTATAAGTAGAAAGTGTTAAGTTTTATTTTTAATAAATCCAATTTCACTTTCATCTGTCGTCTATGAAGGTCTTTGTAATTGTAATTTTCGTTGACAACGTCTACTAATTTCATACTTTATACGGTTAGGTATTTATTTTCTCATGACCATCACATTTCAAGCTAATTATTATCAATTTACTTAGTGTCAGTGTTTTCCTAAGAATAACAATTTAAAATAATTACAATTGAAGGTAAATAGAAGAACGGTATACATCAATTTAAATTAACTGCACTTCAATTAACTATTCGATAGTCAATTGAATATACAGAGACTGTTCGAGAGAGAGAAATAATTCTCATAAGACGAAGAAAGAAGATAAATAGAACTAAAACTTCTAGAGCTCTTAAACAGAAGAAAATTAAATTTTGGATACCGAAAAACTAGAACAAATACAGAAAACATCCTAGGTCACGTGGTTCATTTCTGCCATATTAGCATTACCTTAAAAACACGTAGGTGGAACTTGAGGTATCAGCTGATCGAAAACAGTGCGTAAAAATAAATTTTAATCCGCTTACAGCCCTTTTCCACACCACAATACGACGAGTTTTCGTCGATTATGTATCATGCCTCTGTAATTTTTTGTATCATGCTAGCAGATAACTTTTTATTTATTGTAATCACTCTAGCCTTACACTCTGTATACAAACAACAATTAATCATTTTATTTAAGTTTGTAAGGTTGTTATCTCCAAACTAGAAGACTTTATTGCGTGCACAAGAGCGTGTTCATAGGAACAAAATATAAAAAAATATCTAAAATAGGACACGTGTACATTCTTGACCTAAAAGTATAATTATATATAGTTTAAAAATATACATATATAGTCTGTTACAAAAAAATAACTATTGTCATGTTCTTTACAACAAATAATACTAGAAAGCTCTCATTTAAAATATATCATAAAAATACATTTTTCCAGATTATTCGGTTAAAAAAAATAGTAGTTTTGTTATCTAAATTTTAAATATTAAATCAATTAAATCAGTATATTAAAATGCACCGAAGATTCTTAATTCTTCTGAATTTATTTATAGCTGCATAAAACATTAAATCTCTTTATAAAAGATTAAAATACCAAATTTGACACTGTTATAATAGTGGGTGTATTTTATCGATTTTAGTGAAAGTTTTCTTGACTTTCTACTAGATGTTTCGGTTTGATAAATTTTGCTCTGTTAAGTATCTAGTAATAAATGATTTTAATGGTGCGATGCCAATTCTAATTCCTAAAAATATGTTTTAAAAAATAATGATAAAATTAAAAATCCTGATACAATACCTAACATTTTTTTTTGTAGATATACATTGTTTTTATAGTGTTTTGTATTCAATTTGACAAAAAGGAAAAGAACAATTGCCACATGAATGTATAATAATCAAAAAATATTTTTTTTCAAACTTCGTCTACTTATTTTATAACTGATTGTAGAATTTTCGAAAAGACTAGTTCTGGTGTATAGTTTGTTTCTCATCTACCTATTTATTTATGAATTACACATCAATTATAAATAATTTATTATCTAGATTTCCTTCGCGAGTATACATTGTATTCAAAAATCGAACAAGTTAACAAGTGTAATTTAAGAGTTTAACAACCTGGAAAAGAGGAAACTATATGACCTCAAATGCAATATTTACAGTAAATAATTGATACCTGAAAAAATCTGAAGTGTAACCAAAACTTTTCAATTAAAATCATAAAAAAATTACTTTTTATAAATGTAAATAATAGTAGACAAACATGAATCATGAATATAACAATGCATACAAGAAATTGTGTTAGGCAATATTATATAAATATTGTTAATTCTAATTAGAGAAATAAAAGTGTAATAAAAGCTAATTATTCGCAGAGACGGACTTAATAATAAAGCAGTTGAAAGAAAAATAAATTTTACGTCGGCTTCCATTTATAACCTACCTTTCTGTTACACTCTGTATATTATATTGTTCATAGTTAAACAGACCCCTTAACCCCCATTTTCAATCAGATTTTTTTCAGAATCAATACATGATTCATCCCTTTATAAAGCTTGATTTTCATGAAGATTTCAATTTGATATCGTTATTTGTTTCTGAATTAAGAATTTTATCAATATCTAACAATAAATTTAATATATGGATAGATTAGCACTTAATTTATCTTAAATTTTGTTCAAGACGATTGGATTCTTAATCACATTGTCCTATTTTCTCAATAAATATATTTTCTTTATAATTTTCATTTAAAAAAATTACCTAGATACCTAACCTATAAATTGTAATAACGTAACTTTAATGAATAAATCTTTTCTGATATAACGAATTTAGGATATTACTCTGTAATCTCTGTTGTTAGATTAAATGTTATTTGGAAAATAACTCGGTTTTCCCGTACTTTTAATAACCGATTTGAATTATACCGACTTTGAGATATACCTACCTACATAAATTACCTACATAAATTTATCTACACCTATCGATCGTAAATCGATCTAGCTAGACAGATTTTGCGATAATTTAAGAAAAAAACACCATCTACTACAGTACCATAATGCATTTAATTAAAACTAGATGGAAAATTACGGTGCTGGTAATATTTTTCTTACTATTTATATTCCCCTGAGTTGCTATAAAAGTTACTACTTTATTAAATAGGTTCTTTTTTGTTACAATCTGACAGAAACTAATGGTTTTATTTTCTTTTCAATAGTGGCTGGTTCGACTCTGAAAATTCTATGTGTAGCTGGCGCAGTAAATTACCATTTATGCTCTGTTTCTTGGGCTTTTCGTGCAAGGTACACAAATAAGAAACACATAACGCTACATATAATAGTAAATCAATACTTGGCCTATGAATAAAAATTAAAACATGGGGCAGACCGAATGGGCAGGTGATTTGCCGTAGTAATTAGTGTGATTGATGATTATTCACAGGTCACGAGCCTACTGTATATATACATTTTCATTTTTTCCTCACCTTAAATTTATTTGACGTTGTAAATCTTTTCGGTCTTATCTTTTATTGCTCTTTTTGCATTTCCTTCCTATTGTGTAGTAAAGAATGTGGAAAAAATATAAATTTTATGTTAATGTAGAGTTTACTGCTCATATTTTTTCAAGTATTATGACACACATTACTATATTTAGTTATAAGTCTTTAAGCATATTTTTAGTTCAATATAAATCATGGGAATCTTACACTTTTCACCCACATACTAGATGTGGGTGCTTCCAAAAATGTCGTAAATTTAATGGATTACTTTTGTTAAAGTAGGTAATACGCTCTTAAAATGAGATACTTTTCATTGAGACACCCTATATAATAATGCAAGTAAATACAATCAGCATTTTTACAAGATATGCCCACTGCACTGATTTCGCAAT